AAAAAAAAAAAAAAAAAAAAAAAAAAAAAAAAAAAAAAAAAAAAAGAGCAAAAGAAGTTCAAATGCAGACTTTCTTTCTTTGAGACTCACCCACCTAGCTCTCCATGGAGCTTCTCAGTGGTTTCCAGTAGCAACACAAGGGAACCTTCACACATAAAATTGGGACGGATGTGAATAAAATCCTTGTTGGGCTTCTAATGTAACAGCAGTGGTCATGCTTAAGTACTTGTCAGTTACCTTAACATCTAAATTATTTTTATTGCTCGGTGTTTTACACAGGGCATGTTTAAGGAATAATGCAAATACTAGGGGAACATTTTAAAGCCCACTAACTGTAGTTCTCAAGAGCAATTCAACACATTTTTTTCTGTATTTCCTGCTTACTGAAGCCTTTGAGATGACTTGTTCTGAAAAACAAATGAGAAAAGGGGTTTCCACTCCCAAGTCAAACAATGATGTGTGAAAAAAAATGTAACAAAGTGTTTCATTTTTAGTACTCCCTAAAAAAGTGTTACATATAAACCACCTGGGAAGTCTGACCACCAACCTCCTCCCACCTTCCAAAGGAGGGGAAAAAACCAGCCCAAGGGCAAGCAGTCTCCTTGGGTGGCTCTGCAACAAATCAAATCTCGCAAAATCTTTGCAGCAGATCACATCTCTCCAGTGTTGTGTTATGCATTGTGTCTCTTCGGGGGCTCACACAGAACTGAATTGCCAACCTACCGTTTTGTTTAGGAGCATCAAGAAATAAACGTGAACTTCTTTGAAGGACAAAATGACTACTGTTTACTTATTGTTGCTCTTTTTAATACAACCCTTAAGAGAATGAAATCAGTAATCACCAGACCAATTTTCTATGCAGTAAAGCTTTATTCCACAAAAAGTCTGTGGGCAACACTGCCTAGTCCTTTTTTAGTTTATTATAAGCTTGGGGTGCTATTCAAATGCCTAAGAGATCAGGAAGCATCCACTGAAGAAAAATGCTTGCATAGACATTTTAGAAGTTCATTACCAGTTCTCATCTGTACTGGCTGCACTTACCTCTCCTTTATCAGTGTAAAGGAGATTTATATTGGGAATAATTTACACTGCTAGAGAAGTGTGAGACATGCTTAAAAGTCAGAGACTACACCAGTGGTTTAGACTATCCCTATTTTTTTCTATTTGTTTGGCATAGATCATGAAGTTGCCGAGTTTCTGTGGTTAATTAGTGTTTTGTGTAAACTATATATGGTTTTATCAGTATGTTTCTTGTAATTTGTACTAAACAAGAGGAAGAAGAGATAAAACAGGCTTTTCTAGTTGTTTAAGACTATGTTTAATAGAAATAGGAAGAAGAAAGGAAATTGATATTGTTACATATTAGAAGAGAGATTGCTGCCTAGAAAATCACAAACTCTACAATTGATATTTTATATCATGTAGCTTTAATAGCTCCATTCGGGTCTGAGTCTAAACTTGCTAGAATGATCTCATATTCTTTATATTATACTTTTATGTTTTTAAAAACCTGTGATACGAAAGAGAGAGCCAGGCATGCTTTCTTATCTCTTGTTTCTCCGTACTGGTACAGTCAAAAGGAAAGCTGATCACCCTTCTGTAGATCATCAATAATGCTGATCTGGGATCTTATCCCAAGAAAAGATGTATAGCCATTTGCTGCAGTCTTCTACTTACCTCATTATTTGACCAGACCACAAAATACTTTTATTTCCATAACTGACTTGACCATGCCAAGATGTCTCTATTCGAGATTTTGCCCTCATCTGTGGTGATGTGGTGGCTGGTGATGGGAACATGAGCAAGCAGTGGTACAACTGCCTCCTGAACTCTTTTCTCCGAGGTGAGTCTTCCCTGATTTTCAGTTCCCACTCCTTGTGAGTTCTTTCATTGGCCCTTTTCAAATTCATTTGGTGTCATGCTGTGCTAGTACTAGATCCCACCTAGGCCAGTACCATGCCAATTTGTGCTTACTGTGGTCTGCCTTTAATGACACTTTGCTTCTATATGTAATGGCTTTAACCCTCAAGGAGGCTCACAAACAATATATTTATACTCACAGTTAACCGCAAATGTCTTGGGAGATAGCCAGAAAGCTTACCTTTAACTGTACTTAGAAGGAGTTTTGTCAGGGTCAAAGGGTTGGTTTTTTTTTTTCTTTGTCGCGAGGCCATCCAGGAAATGAGTGAGCTGAACTGTGCAGCCCAGCCAAAAACAAAAACACATAGTGCAGGAAAATAAAGTTCCACTGGGTTCATTCTTCGTTTGCGTAACATTTCTTGGTTGGGCTCATGTAAAACAGCAAATTATGCAATTCTTTTCACTGGCTTTCCTCTCTTAGTTTCTCTTTGCTTCCATTTGTGGTGTTTTGATAAAGCCAGTTGTTTTCCCTTTTGAATCACCAACTGTTTCCCAACTTGTCCTTTAAAATTTTTCCCTTGGCAGTGCCACATGCTCTTGTCATGTCCTCTGAAGCTTCCGAGACAGAGGACAAAAACTCAAGGAATATCTCCTTAAGTGGGAAAAACAGAGTTTAGTCTTCAGCCTTTTTTTTTCCCTGGTGCTGTGTATTTGTTTAGCAATACTTTAGATGCCTGCGACAAGTGAGCTACTCCATAGTTTCAAACAGTTTCCAAGGTCTACTTGGAAATGTGAGGTTCCCTTTGGTCTGTAATGACCCAAGATAGGATAAGTAGCAAATGAGGGACTCTTCTGTTCTTTTGTATGTTGCTTAACCTTATGTTTAACCAAGTAATCGCTGTCTTCGGAAAGCTGGCAATCTTAGGAGGCTCCTGTGCAAAAATGTGTAAAAGCAATTGCTGGTGCCTGTTTTCTTCCTTGACTTCCAGGCCTCGAGTTTGTCTAAAAATGAAGTGGAAGGATGACATTTGTGCCGTTTTGCCTTGGGAACAAAACAAAACAAAAGTATTGGGCTCCCTGAAAGATGTCTGCTGCATATGAGCAGCCTGTTCAACCTGGCATGTGAGGGTCATACCATGACTGTCTCCACGGTAGTGATGAATTGTGCCACAAGGAAGGCGGCATGAGCATAAAAGAGCTGCAATTCCGATTGAGCCTCACATAGGCAGTGTAAAGAAGCAGCTCAGTTGTATCATGGTCTGGCACTGCATAACTGTGTGTGATCTTGACAAAGCCCAGCCCAAATAAAAGTCTACCAGTACCAAAGTGTAAGCATAGTAGAGGCGATTTAAAAGTACCGGACCAACAGTTGCTCATTAATCAAAGTAAATAAATTCAGAAGCAGCCAAGATAGCTAAGTAGGAGGTCCTCATTATAGTTCTTTTTATCCAGATAGTTCATTTTTATAGTTCATTTTAGTTCATGGTGCGCTAGTTTATTTTCATAGTTCATTTTATCCAAATGAACTAATTGTAAGGAAAGGTAAGGTGAACCATTCAGACACTGGAAGGGATCTTCCCCAGGGCGTTGCGTTAGTCTCATGTCGGGTCGTCCTCCGGGATAGGTTAGTTCTGTAACACCTTGGGTTTTGCGCACTTCCTTTACCTTATGTCTGCCTTGCGATAGTGCTTTGCTAAGCAGCATTTGCCGTCTGTAGCTCCAGATGGTTGCAACCAGCTAGGCTGATCCCGTTCCATCCATTGGCTGACTTTGTTTAAGGGACAGATGGCACATCCCTTCATTTCTTATCTTTACCTCCTTGGCAAAGTCTATTGTTTTATTCTGCTCCACACAAAAATCACAGGTCAAAACATGCCAGCTTTGTTGTATTCAGTGTAATAAGGTTCAGCCTAATCCTGGGTGATTTTTCTTGCTGAAAGGCTTCCTTGGAAAAAAGCATTGTCAGTCTTGGTCTTCATGTGCCTGAGAATATGTTTTTATGTCCCAGTTGGTCTTAGCAGGTTCTCAGAGACCCACTGTGATAATACACGACTTCTAGGAAGCCTATAGGGAAGAGGATACTTTGCTTCCATTTTCCCTGCTGTTCAGCTATTCATATCTTGGCACTTATGTGTCAGCAGGTGCGTAAAGAGCTAGGCTGTGCCAATGCCAAGACTGGCCCAGAAGAGAGACTTCTTGTGGGGTACCTTACACTTGCAGTATTTTTCGGGCTGTCCATCATAACCTATTTTTTTTTCCTGGCCTCTGTGCACTAGTCAAATAGTCCAAGCTTATTCTGAGCAGGCACAGATAGCTATCATAACAGATGGACAAGTGTGTTGGAAGCCAAGAAACTATGTACTGTATGCACACTGAGGGAACAGTGTACTGGTTCAGGTCATTCACATAACTGGCTGGCCAAAGTCTGCGTGTCTGTGGTTAGAACAAGGTGCCATTGATAAACTGCAACCTCAGTTTTAACTTTCCAAAGTCAGAAGCACATGAAACAACTTATGCCTACACTATCACACACACTAGTAATTTGCTGACCTTGCTGTGCTCACCCCATATTTCTTGCACTTTCTTTTACTGATCCCCCAAATTAGCCGTAAGGCCATGGGCCACATCGGTTTGGATGTAACTGAATACTTCCCTGCTGATCTCAGTGAAAGTCCTATCTCTTGCCTCTCAAACTTTAAACTTTGACTTGTCACTACTGTGTAGAGATCCCCTGAAAACGGTCATTAAAAAGCTCCTGGCCCAAGTATTGGGTTTTACTGCTGTGAACAATAAGCCTTTTATTACTACAAAACTATGACTGAAATTCAAGGAAAGGAAGCAATTGTGTTTTAATTAGAAGATTACTTACTTTGTTCTTTCCCCAGCAAAGGTAAGCTAAAATTATTATTTTTGTAGATTTTTGCAGTTTTATATTGTCTTTGCTTTTCAGACATCAGGGTGTCTTATAGAATTTGTGCACACTTTGGCAAAAATTTAGCCTAGTGCAAACTTTATCTGAGCCATCTGTCCTGTCCTCAGTCTAGAGGAAATAATGGTCTTTCTCTGGGCTCCTGTTAAGTAGTCTCTGACAAGAACCAAGCCAAATTTCATGCTGACAAATGAGCAGGATACTAGATGTCTTTCCTGTGGAACCCAGTCCATAAATTGTGTGCAGAGTAGTTAAAGGGTTAAATATTTTTCTTAAACAATGCTATTTTGATGGCTGACATGAAAAAGTGCAAAGATGAGTTTATAGGCTTCTGTTCAGGGTGAATGTTTCATATTTATGTGTTCTATGAATTCCAAGTGATATTTTACCTGATTTTCCATTTGTTTTCTATCCTGTTAGTGGTGAAACATTATTTATGTGCCACATCTGCTACTAAAGTATAGTTCTCAGTTGTAATTTGGCCACAGGCATGTAAGTCAAAAAATGAGATTTTTTCCAGGCTGAAAGTCAAGAAAAAAGAAAGGAAAGAAAAGAAGAAAAGTTAAAACTTCTGTGAATGCAAAGAATAATCCAGATTCACACTGTTGATTAAAGCAGGATTTGGTCAAAGAACAAATTACTCTGTGTCTGTCCATCAGTCATTTGCTAAATGCCCCATTTTGGTATCTAAAATATGTAGTTAATTGTTCAGAAGCATATATTTTTAAATGTCTTGTCTTCTGTTTTTTTTCTTCTTAGTTTGTTGTGACGATGTTTTGGAGCATCTATATCTATGACAGGGAACTCGTTTACCCAAAGCTGCTTGATAATTTTATACCAGCGTGGCTAAATCATGGAATGGTGAGTAAAGTAATGCAAACACTTCCTTGCATAAACAAAAGTGTAAGACACTGATTTTCCTGTGCATGACTCTGCATACACTTACAGCTAATCCCCTCAGAAGTGATTAAGGAACATTGTTTGCAAGCAAGAATAACATCTTTCCTTCCTTGACTCCTTGAATCATATTTGAATCCTCATTAGGTTGAAACAGTGGAGATTTGAAGTTGTGTGTCCTACATCCCAGGCTAGTTGTGGGGATCGGCTGTGTTCTGTGATAAGGTACCTTTCCCAGAGCAATGTCACCCTGGTCATGAGGAAATTTAATCAAAAGAGGCTCTTCCACAAAACAGAAGTTCTGACTGTGACAAATCTTGCTCTAAAATGACAGAAACACTTAATCGAATGATTCTTTGCCATTCTACCAAAGTATAATTTGTGATGAAAATGTTTTGGTTAAAATGCTTGTTCAAAAAATCTCACTGTGCTTTTTGGACTTGTATGTTTTTAGAAAAAAAAAAAGAAATAATTACTCATTTCTCAAGTACACCAAACCTGTGTAGCAGAACCTGTATCTGAGTATTTTTAATAATGTGGAATTACATGCATCAACGCAAAGGTTCAAAATTCCTGCATCAGTAATCATAGAAGTGGTTTCTTGAGAAGAAATCTGACCTTCTCATCCCTCTCTGATATGTCAAGTCGGACATTCTTTTTCTCAACTATATGTTTAAATGCTAAGGGAAAGATAAGGCCACACTTTGCCATCAGCTACTTACTACTATTTATGCAGTATTTGGAGCTGAAAAGCATCATGTTTGCTTCTCTAGTTGCGTCTGTGCAAAATGTTTCATTATTACTTTGTTTTCCGTATCAAAGCATGGCAAACCATTTGGCACTGCTCTTCATCAGCAGATGACAGCAGAGCTCATCCTTCAGGATGTGAGTACTGTACCACCACAGCAGGTCAAGATTTGTCCGCTACTGCTGGGCTTGATAAATTGATCCTTTGTGGGGTGTGGCAGATGGCACTGCTATTTATTTATTCCCTAAATTGTGTGTTAAAGGAGTAGTACGAGAGTTACTACTGACAAGAGGAGCATCAGCTTCTGCTTAGATACTGTATTGTTCTACAATGTTTTGAAAGGAACAGTGTGATATTATGTGTGTGTAGAGCTGAGGAAAGAGTCTGATGACTCCTGCTGTGTTTGTTCAGACTGTCCTCTCTCGAGTTTTGAGGTTACAAACTGAACAGTTGCAAATGCTGCCAAGCCATACATACATTGATTTTTTCCCCACACCGCATCAGTGCCAGCTCTGACGACATTTCTTCCAGGTGACATTCCACATACTGAAAGTGCCTAACCTATAACATTTTTCATGAATGCACATTGTGAAGCAGTTGACAACAAACGGTCCTATGTATTCAGGAAGTCTCCTCTGTGCCGTAACTAAAAGGCAATTCAAGCTCATGGTGCTCTATAGAAACGTATACTTACTGAAATATTTGACGAGGGCTTTTGTTTGAGATTTTTGGACATAATAGAGTTTGCTGAAATGAATTGCGTGCAAGCATCTGAGACTTTTTTTTTTTAACTTGAAACATTGTAGAAGGCACTTTTGAAAGTCTTTTGTAAAGGAATTGTTTGCTGTGTCAGCCCCTATTTATCCAAGTGTTCCTTTAGCTCGGTCACAGAGAAAGCTTATGGCTGTTGGGCTTTTCACCACCTTTCAGTCTAATTCTTTCTGATGTTTTAGCCATCATTTTATCCTCACCAGCTTTCATACTAATTAATTCTGATGCATGGCCCATCATAATATGAAGGGATTCTTAAACTACCTTGAGAATGCTAGCACCTCACTTAGTAGTAGTTACAATTTTGACATGGCAGATTTTGGAGAATATGATAAGGGTCCCCTTGCTGAAAGGGTTGGACCTCTGGGAATACAGTTTTAGAAAAATCAGGATCCCCGGCAATTGTTTTTTACTGAAATGAACATTTATTCCCATCTTTCCCTGCATGTTTTGACAGCAGCTGTGCACATCCAGTGATCATTTTTCTGAACGCAAGGGTGGCTGCGCGCCCTGGTCTGTGAGCTTCCCCCACTGTGCCCGGTGCAGGTCCTGAGGATCTGAGCTCAAATGTTACCGCGCCTGTGAACACTCTGTCCAGGTCTTTTCACGGCAGTTTCCCTAAACACATATTTATCACAAAAAAAGCCACAAAAAGTGGAAAATGTAAAACTATACATTTTCCACAGTAAAAAGATTCCCTACATTAACTGAAAAGTCTTAGTTTCAAAAGTTTCTGACAGATGTATTATGACCAGCTGTAACAACTTGCTCAACTGTCAACATCGGCCTGCAAAATCCACACATAGAAAAGGAATGAAAAGTCATGAAATCTGGCTGTAATAGTAGCAATCATATTTCCATTAGTAATATGGGCATGTATCAAAGTATTTGAGAGTATTCATACTTTAGAAGCATATTAAGGTGACTATCTTGAAGGCTGTATGAAGAAATTGTTTGAGGGGCTGGTCCAATTCAGTGCATTAGCCCAAGCAGAAGTGGTTTGGGCAGCAGGGTCTGCTGCTTTCTTAGGTTATAATAATTAGTTCTTATCCCCCTTTTTCTTCCCCCGCTTTCCCATCCCTTCTCTGCAGTTACAACATTGTCTGTAGTTAAAAAAAATATTTTCTTGAATACATAGTAGTGTCTTGCTAATACTCAGAGATATCACTTTTTCATAGCAACACTTTTTCAACATCTAAAAAATTCCTAATTATAAAAAAATGCCTCTCTAGAAATGGAAAACGTAAGGGAAGTGAACCTCAGAGCTATGCAATCCCATTACCAATTCAATCTTAATATTGTTTATAAAGTTTCATAGAAACAGAGGGAGGCTCATCATTGTGCACAAAGATAAGAGCCACAAACGATTTACCATAAAATTGCGTATAGTGTTAAGAACTGTATTTCTGTTTTTTATATATATACCGTAATAGTTAAAAATATAATTCCTGTCTACAGAAGAATCTGTGTAGTAAGTAGTGCCTTGTGGTACCAGATGGTACCTCATCCATATGGATTCATACACCTGTGAAAGGCATCACTAATAGAGTTGTACTGTGTCATAAAACTGATATATTTCATCACCTCAGTCGATTCACCCATAACCAATGATATCACTATGACTTGAGAAATGGCCAGGGGAGATCAATGGCTGGGTTGCTGTTGATTTCAGCCAGGACAAGGATTTCATCTCTGTTTATTATGTGAAGGAGCACATCTGAGTAGCTGAGGTTAAGCTTCTGTCAGTAGAAATAACTACCTGTCTAAAGAGAGCTGTTGGAGAACAGGGCAGTGTCTCTGCCTTGGTCTGTTTCTGAAGTGTCGAGTTCACTTCCTGTATTTATTAGTTATGCAGATGAATTCATCTTTGCTGGCTACAATTTTAGTTGCCAAATTACTGAACCCTTCCATCAAAGATGTCGTTGGTGTTCTTGAGATTGTCCTGCAGTTTGGATCCGTATCAGCCCTTAATTCCGCAGGCATGTTTTCCATGGGAAATATTCTTTCCCATTTTCTGATGGCTGTCTATCTGATCTCTGTCAGTATTAGGAATTTTTAATTAAAGGCTATCCTTTAGTGTTTAAAACTAATGTGTCTTAGTAATAGGATTTTTATCAGCTCATTCATTGCACCTTTTTGTGTTGGGACTGGACAGGATGATGCATGGATAACATTTGTTTCCAGAAGTTATATTCTCTTCAATATTAGCACAGACTGCAAAACTAGAGGTTGCCCCTATTCTAACCGATGCCCACATAAACAGATCTGTAGACTAACTTAATTTAAGCTCAAGCATTGCTGATCTTGAGCCAGGTTACATGGCAAGACTGCGTGCAGTATCTGTCCAAGTTAGCATACCATTTCAGCAAGAGTCCTTCTTTGTTTTTCACAGACACTGTCCCAAATTCTTTTTCAAAATGTGAATCATCTTTTGTTTGTGGCAGGGAAAGTAAAATACAGAGATAGAAATTACTTACTGAGGAGGTTAATGGCTTGGAGGTCAGAAACAAAGAATTGTCTTCATGTGAAAACTCTAGAGGAGAGGTCAGGGAAGGGGGAAGGGGAATATGCTGTGCCTCTGTGGAGCTGGAAAATTGATTATTTTATGGGTTCTGTGCCACTACAGTCTATACGAGCTCTTCCAGTTTTGTACTCTATTCTTTTTATGCTGCTTTTGGGAAACAAAGGTGTTCCTAGAAAGACATACCCTCTGTCCTTGTATTCAAGTTAATGCACAAAATCTGGGACAAAGAGCAGCTGAAGACAAGTTATGGAGAGGGAGCCTGTCCAAGTGATACATCTCTACTTATTTAACGAGTTGGCTCTCTTTTCTTATTGCTGGCTGCTCAGCTGAAAAGCTCAGCCCACCAGAGAGTGGTACGGAGTCCCTCCGGCCATCTCCCCAGTTGTTGTTCTCCCTGGCAGCCTTGTCTTAGGTCCAGTGGCCTCGGCTTGTTTGTTCCTTCGTTTTTCTGGTGGAAAGCTTTTTTCCTTGATGATTCGACAGATAGAAAAATGGAAAAGCTAAGCAAAGATCAAAATTCATAGTAACCTGGCATATAAAGATTGGAAGGTCCAAAACTGGTGAGTTTTTTGACAAACCCATCTCTCCATCATTAGTTGGGTCAGTTGCTGCACAGTGCTCGCTCTGATGTACAAACAAGGCGATGTCCTTTCTTTCAGCAAAGTGTTTGCATCTAGCCTGTTGCCCTAAAAATCCTTTTCAGAAATGACTCATTTGAAACAGTGCATTATACTTCTTGAGGATTCTTTCCTAATGCAGCAGCATCCCATGTATGGGCTATTTTTGTACGATGTACTGCACCCTGGTAATGCCTCACGCTTAGGTCTAGAAGATACCCTTTTCTGAGATTTGTTTCTAAATCCAATTTAAGGCTTTCAAGGGTATTCCGACTCAAGTGCTCCTCTTAAACTATCTATAATA